CAGTAACTATGCTTCAAAAAGTACCTTATTGAAAATAATTTTTTTTGTGACAACCTTACAGGTCACAGTGGATGGAACATAAATGCAGGCACCTGGCAATTCCTTTATCCTTAACTATGCCAAGCTCCAAATGTATTCTGACAAGATGACCATATCACTCCAACATTTATTTATGCTTGCATCAGCTTCCAACACTTTACAGATTTAGAAACTTCAAACCATAAGTCATTGGAAATCACGGTCTTTTCTAATTCAAGCTGAAGCAGCACTGTTGGCAATTCTGTTTGAACTGGGCCCAGAAGCACTGACCCAAATGAGTTAACTAGCCTCAACCAGGAGGGAGGAGGCAACGAACCTACATGGTCCAGATAGATATCCCTGCCAGTCAGGCTACAGTTCAGCAACTGGCAGGAACTTCTGACACTTAAAACCATAGGAAATAGGAGCAGGAGTAGGCCATTCAGCCCTTTGAACCTGCTGATCATCCAACTCCGTATCCTCCATTCTACTTTTGTCCTACACTATTTGATTGTTTTAGCTCTAAGATCTGTATATCTAAATCCTTCTTGAAAACATTCTCTGTTTTGGTCTCAACTGCTTTCTGAGGCAGAGGATTTCCACAGATTCACCACTCTCTGGGTGAAGAAATTTCTCCTCATCTCAGTCCTAAATGGTCTACCCCTTGTCCTTAGATTATGACCCTTGGTTCTGGACACCCCTCTCATTGGGAACATCCTTTCTGCATTCACTCTGTCTAGTCCTGTTAGACTTTTATAGGTTTCTATAAGATCCCCCTCACTCATTCTTCTAAACTGCAGTGAATATAGTCACAACTAACTGATCCAGTCTCTCTTCATACGTCAGTCCTGCCATCCCAGGAATCAGTCTGGTAAATCTTCACTGCACTCCCTCCATAGCCAGAATGGGAGACCAAAACTGCACACACTATCCCAAGTGTTGTCTCATCAAGGCCATGTACAATTGCAGCAAGGCACCCCTACTCTTGTATTCGTATCCTCTCAATATGAAGGCTAACAAACCATTTGTCTTCTTCACCATCTGCTGCTCATCCAAGTTTGCTTTCAGCCATTTGTTGTCTTTCAGGGTTAAGGATAGAGGCAGTTCTCATTCTCAAACAAAACTTTGCCTTTTATTTTGAGCACCAAGGTGAAATAAGTTGTTGTCTGGACTTTATAGCATTTCTCTTATACAGTCATCAAAATCTGGTTTTCAACATTGTAATCTTCAGTAACCCCCATAGCTCAACTTTATCTGCATGGCACAGTTTAACAGGAGGGATGTGGAGAAGATTCTTCTACTTGTGGCCCAGACCAGAACCAGAGACTGTATATACCACAGAGAGTCACTAATACCTCTAAAAGGGAACTCAGTACAAGCTTCTTCACCCGAACAGTGATTAAAATTTGGTTGTCGTGACTATGATGGGGTGGTTGAGGACGCATGAATGATGCACTTAAGGCAACCCATGCAAACAAATGAGGGAAGAAGGAACAGAACAATATGTTGCAAATTGCTGGAGAAACTCAGCAGGTCTGGCAGCATCTGTGGAGAGAAAGCAGAGTCAATGTTTCGAGTAGAGGACTCTCAGAACAGTTTGTTGATTGGGTTGGATGAAGAGGGTGGCAGGACGTTGGAGCAGAGCATAAACATTTCCTAGAGACAATGGGCTAAATAGCCTGTTTTTTTTTGTGAAATAAATGCTTTGACAAGCATACTTGGCTTCATTCTTGCTGACAGTTCATCCCAGTATGGAGGGTTTGTCATAGCAGCAAAGGCTAAACAGGCTGGGAACCCACTCTACATTGGAGTTTATAAGAATGAGAGGTGATCTCATTTTGACAGGGTAAGTGTTGAGAGGATGTTTCCCCTCATGGGAGACTCTAGGACCAGAGGGCATCGTCTCAGAATAAAACCAATTTAATACTAAGATGAGGAGGAATTTCTTCTCTCAGAGGGCTGTGAAGCTTTGGAACCCCTTGCCACAGAGAACTGTGGGGGCAGAGTCCTTGTGCTTATTTAAGGCTAAGATAGATGGATTCTTGATCAGTTGGGGAATGGGGAAAAGGCAGGAAATTGGACACAAGGAATGTCATATTGGGGATATGATTGGGCAGCACAGTGGCTCAATGGTTAGCACTGCTGCCTCAGAGTACCAGGGACCTGGGTTCAATTCCACCCCTGGGTGACTGTCTGTGTGGAGTTTGCATGTTCTCCCTGTGTCTGCGTGGGTTTCCTCTGGGTGCTCTGGTTTCTTCCCACAGTCCAAAGATGTGCAGGGTAGGTGGATTGGCCATGCTTAAATTGCCTGTAATGTTCAGGGATCTTTAGGTTAGGTGGGTTATATATGGGGAAAATGCAGGGGTAGGGGAATGTGTCAGGGTGGGATGCTTTTCAGAGGGGCAGTGTGGACTTGTGGGGCCGAGTGGCCTGTTTCTACACTGTAGGGATTCTATGATTGATTAGCCATGATCCTATTGAATGGTGGAGCAGAAGCCCAAGGAGCTGAACAGTCTAATCCTGTTACTATTTCTTATGGTGCTCCAATTTCCATAAACTGAGGCATATACATTAACCACACATATTAGAGGAACACGTTTTCTTATTCCCGAAAAATCATGTTTTTGCAATATGTTTGGCATATCGGTCAACTCCTTTTATAGCCATGGACATATTACATATCTTATAACTAGGTACAAGGGATCAAGTAGAAAATAATGACCATGTTGTGAAAATATGCAGTGTTTTAAGATACATCTGCATGGCAGACCTGACAAATATGGGAGCCACTCATGCTGGCAGTTCACTTTTATACCAGATGTATAAGTCAACCCCATTTTTTATAGGGATTTCTCAAATTATACACCAATATCTACATCACCTGTCCTACACAGGGACTTAGGATCCATTCCCAACTAGAATTTCTAACTTAGAATAGTTAGGTGCTTGTTTTTGACTGGCATGAAGTCAGTGGGCCAAAGGGTTTTTGTTTCTTTGTGCTGTAGACCTATTTGACTGTATGACTCGGCCTCTTGTTTTCCATTTGGAGGTTCCACCTCTTACAAGAGTGACTGGTAGCTCATGGTCAGGCAGGACCTTGGAACTCTGTTGCCTTGTAACTCTGCTTTTCTACAAAAATTATATTAGGATTCTATTGAAATGGTCAAGTAAATACCATCCCTTTCAGTTTTTTCTTTAAAGTTAAGATTGCTTGACTGGTACCCTACTCACCACAGGTGCTCATTGGGAAGCTACAAGATGCACCACAGCAAATCATTAAGTGTCCTTTGATAGCATCTTCTGAACTCATAAATTTTAGAAGGATAAGGGTAGAAGATGGATGCAAACACCACCACCTGCAAATTCCCCTCCAAACCACACACCATCATGCCTTGGAGATACATCACCACTTCTTCACTGTCATCTGGAAGAGGGGTAACTGGGGCCACATGGACCTGCTGTGATGGCAACTCATTACCATCTTCTCATGGGCAATTGGGGTGGGCATAAATGCCAGCCTTGGCAACAATACTCACATCCCTTGAATAACTAAAAAGGAATTTCTTAAAGCTTTCCAACATTCTACTAAATCTGTCCACGATTTGAACATTCAATGTTGTTTCAGAAACTTTCTTACAGAATTATCTCAGAACATTTCCTCTCTTCTTGCCAAGTGTATCCTTGTGAGAAGTTTTTGAGCACAACTGATTGAGAAGGATTGTCCATGGTGATTCTGTGTTGATGGGTGGTGTGGAGTGACAGAAATATAGAACTTGGCAAAATATTGAGGTAATTTTCAGTTGCAAACTCGCCCCAGGTGATTTGGTAAAGACTGCAAAACCTGTTGGACTTTCATTCTCATTGTTTCATCACAACAAACCTTGGCCAGATTCTATGAAGCGTGTCCAATTCCTTTTGACAGTACAGAGTTGAAAGTTCCTTCATTTCATGGGTAAGCGCCTTATCACAGTGAGTGATGATCATTATTAATGGTTACCTTGCCAGTATGGTACCAATACGCGCTTGCAGTAATAAAAGAAAGATACATGCCAGGACCCGATGGTAGATGAAGCATAACTCAACTAAGATTGTATGTGCCCGATGGTTGGGGGAGGGGAAGTTCAGAGGTGCTCCTACATGCTTTTAGCTGTTCACGTTAATTTCTGCCTGTCTACTGCTACATCAAACATTCTATACACTAAGTTCCACAAGTTCCTCTCGTTTCCAATTGTGTTACATAGAATCAAAATCAACCACCACACAAGGCCTTTTGGCCCATTATGCTTGTGCCAGCTCTCTGAGAGAGCTACTCAAGTAATTTCACTTCCCTCTCCTTTCCCATAGCCCTACAATTTTCTTTTCATAAACAAAATTGCTGGAAAATATCAGCAGGTCTAGCAGCATCTGAGGAGAGTTCTGAAGAAGCATCACTGGCTCAACACATTAACTCTTCTTTCTCTCCACTGACATTGCCAGACCTGCTCAGTTTCTCCACAAATTTCTGTCTTTGTTTCAGACCTTCAACATTTACAGTTTTCTTTAATTTTCCTGCATTTTTTTTTGCTGCCTTCAAGTATTTATCAATGGTCTTCCTGTTGGAAGTCAATATCGAATGTGTTTGCATCATTCTTTCAGGCGGCATATTCCTGATCATAACGACCCACCGAGCAAAAATATCATTACCTCACAACATCCCTGGTCCTTTTGACAATTACCTTAAATCTACGTTATCCAGTTAACAAACCTTCTGCCATTGGATTTACTCTCTCAAAACATTCTTGGCATATATCGCTGTGTGAAGTGCTCTGTGCATGGGTCACACTGAGGTACCCTATCCTTATCAATGCATGAGCTATTGTCTGGAATACTTCACATCTTTTACACTTAGGTGCTGTTGCATGAAGTGCATTGCACATCTCACAGAGTGTGAGGTACATTTAAATAAATTCGCTCAAACTGAAAACAAACACTTTCGAGGTGAGTGCACTGAAAGTCTTCCAGAGACTGTATTTTATTTACAAGGTTATTAGTAATACAATCAAAATGTTTCATCGGATTCTGCAAGAGGTAGAGAAACCAGCTGGTCCCAGATCCTCTCAGCTGTCAGTTTTATCCCAGGTTATCTTGCACTTATCAAATGGTCAGTTTTGTTCAACACCACTTGGGAATGTGGATTATTATGGTCAACCAAAAGTACAGATTTAGTCAAATAAAACCAAATAGCTTGGTACAATGCACTCCCTCTTCAAGCTTATACAGGACCAGGTTACAAGCCTCAAATTGCTGCAGGATTAAAATTCACATGAAGTGCAAACAGTGCGATTAAATTCTCCTCAGTTCAACATCTTGATGCTTTGATACATTAGGATTGGGAAGAATCTGTTATTGAATTTATTAAGAGTGGCTTGATGAACTTTTAACACAGGCCAAAGCAAAATGAGATGAAGTCTCCCCAAATCCCTCAGCCACCACATCGCCCTTCTTACTGCCTCCCTCTCTGCTCCATGACTCTCTTACCCTGGGCACTGACTGATTGTGAGACTTGGTAGGAGGCAAATCTCCTGTACAAACTAACCTTCGAGTCACTGAGTTGAGCATAAATGATTCAAGAGACCACTCTAGTACAATTTGTCACAGTTAAATGTCTGGCTCATTAACCAAATACTTTGTCAGAAACCACTGATCTTAGTTTCAAACTGGACAAAGTTTGCACACTAATAAATATTACATAGTTTACTTGTTTATAAACAGGTATTTCACAAAAAAATTGCACCATAATTACAAAATGAACAATGAACAGTTCAAAAGAAGTCTCGATGTTAGGTTTCTGTAAACAATTGGTTGAGATGCACATCATGGTCAGTAGTGAATTTGGAATTAGTAAATAGGGTTGGGTGGGGAGCAGAAGGATTGCTGAAATGCTGACAGGTCCACATGCCATTCCTGCTACTTCTTCAGTCTGACTTCACCCACTGATTAAGAAATGCAAGTACCCTCACCATGACTGCGATGCTTACGGCCACTCTGACCAGCTCAGAGGATGGGAGAGGAAAAATTTCTTACTTCATTCTCCTCCATCTCTGAGACTTGAAGAGGCTAGAGGCTACAATTTAATCTCGGGTGAATAGACGAAATTGGCTGATTTTCTGCCAACTCAGCCTCATGGTCAAACAAAGACAGGTTCAAAGCCACAAATAAAGCAGCGATACATCTCGATCAGAGAAACTAACTGTGGCACATTGCTCCAATGGGAAAACAGTCTAGCTAAATGCATCACAGCTCTGCCCTGTTTGTGAGGCTTCAACCATCATGCTACAAACCTACCTCTGTTGACTGAAAAAAGAATGAAACAAGAAGTTTCAGTTGGGTTTAAAGGAAGAGCATTTGAGATCTTGTTTCAGAACTGCTGTCAGATCCAAGAACCATGTACAAAATGACTGTGATCAGCAGTAAACATGGGGAGACAAAGTAACAGCAGTTTCTAATCTGATCACAATGCTTCATTGAATTTTGGGGCTAGTGAAGATTTTCATGTGAACCTCCCTGTACATTGAAGTAGCAGCAGCGGTAGCAAGAGGAATTTTGTTTTCTTTGGCCCGTGATTAACCCAAAAGATTGAGAAAGTCCTGCTTCGTCTCCCTGACCAATAGTCTGAGTGGGACCAAAGCAGTCTTTCTAATCGAGTCAAAAACCATAGCAGCCTTGCTTTTATTCACCCAGTGGCCTAACCAAAGACTTCTGAAGTAATTCTGTGGACAGAAACCCAAAATAGCAGCAGCGTAAAACGCTGTCAATCAATAACAGTGGGGGAAACATAAAGTCTTAAGTTAGTAGCAAATATACAAGCTATCATACAACAAGAGCCTCCCTCACATGAGGTAGGGAGTTTTTCAAAAGGACAATGATTCGATAAAAGCTATCTAAATTCACAGCCTTTGGCCCCCAGTCAATCAGTCACAGGGCATTGAAGCCATTCACTCATTCTCTCCTGATCTGGATATGTAGTTTGAACCAGAGCAGAAGGCGTTATCTGTCTTTATCCCAATTCTCTGGACACTATGACGCTATTCCCTAACTGACGCTATTCCCTAACTGCTTTTCAAACGGGGAGTTAACTTATCCCTGCAGTTTCCACTGATGCAGAGAATTGGTTCCCCACCCCATCCCACTCTCCACCCAAAAGAAAAAATCAACTGGTTCTTTCCTGTGCTGACCAAGCTTGCAGACTGGATAGGGTTCAACTCTGAGCACTACAGGATCATGTGACAGTAGGGTACTGCATGTAGCTTTATTACACATTTCCCTCCAACTAAACTTTAAGTAGCTCCTCTGGGAACTTGCTACTTGTGTAGTTCAAAAGGTTCACGCTGTCACCCTGTGACAGTGCTAAAGTGCAGCTTGCTGTGGCTAACACTCAAGGCCATTCACAAATTGGGTAGGCTCCCTGAGAGAATCGCGTGTGCAGGCCTGTCGATCAAAGAGAATTCATGGGGGCAAATGTGTCACTTTCTCATTCCATACCTTAAGTTTTTATTAGATTGGTCATATCATTTTGTCACATTACTTCCTGCCAGTCCTGACACCCCTCCCACATATCTAATGAACAGCAGCGATGCCCAAAGGCAAGGTTATACAAACCTCTCAGAAAGCTTTGAGCCCCCATTCCTGTTTGTGGTCTGTCTCTCTCACACACACACACGCACATATACACACACGCACACACAACACACATAGCTTATTAATAAAGACAAAAATGCAACACAGATGTACTGAGCCCACTCTTGCACAGTTAGGGCTGAGACAAAACATCACTTCTGCTGAATAATTTTTGGAAAAGGTTAAACACAGAAATTGTTTTAAACCTTTGATCTTTGTCAGCGTGTGACCTCCCTGTATTCATGGTGGCATAAACTAAATGACTAATCAGCAACTAAAAGTTAGGCAAGTGCTATTTTATAAATAAAAAACAACCCCTCTCACTGATTCCCACTTCATTATCCCACTCCCTCTCTCATAGCCACCTGTCCTCAGCTTGGTCCCTATCAAGACTAAACTGGATACAGATCTTGCCATTAGAGTAACTGGGAAAAGGGGGTCACAGGAATGATTCCAAAAGGCCCTTGTGTCCACATCTCTGGGTACAACTGGGATCCAAAACCAAAAGCAAAACATGGGGCCGTGGCTTTAGTCACGAGAGGAGTGTGTACCAATTTCTCAGAGCTGTCTGTGCTTAAAGGGAACAGTGGTCAAGAGTTTGGGGCAAGTCTATTTCTCAGATTGCGGCATGTGATGGGAACAAGTGGCTGTCAGAGTCTGTACTTGGGAGGGAGCTGGAAAGACCAACAGAGAGCTTCTGGACGATTGTGCAGCAAGGGTGGAAGGTCATTCACACCATCATGCAGGCATCTGGAGAACAATGACTTGGGGTTTCATCTTGAAATACTGGTTAAACCTCAGCACACTATACCTGTAAGACAAAAACAAACATATTCTTCAGAGATAAGATTGGGTGGGGGCTGGAGAACAGGGTACTTGATGCTATTTAAAGTAAAATTGCAGCCAGTGAGTTGAGTTGGAAGAAGGACTTTTGCAGTTTATGAAGTCGGTGTCACTGAAAAAGTTTAGCGTGAAAACAGCCTCTCTATTTCCTGACGGCCCACATGCAACAGCCAAGAATTTTCAGAATACGTCAGATACATATTTACTTTGAAAATAGTCTGGAAGTTATGTACGTCACTTATGAACAGAGATAAGTTTTTAAAAAGTTGAGAGTTTGCAGTGATTTGGACAACTGGATCGGACAAAAGAACACCCTGAAGCTGGGTTTCCTAAAGTGGGGTCTGAAATTGAGGATGCAAGCATCAAAGCAACAATGGCCAACGCACACCCCCTTCCCAATGGGCTCATATTATTCCCCCACGATCCCACCTTCCAATTGTTTCAGTTTTCACTGAAGGTGGAGGCAATTCCCAAGCGTCAAAATGGGGTGACAGTATGAAAACCTTTGGGATTCACTGCAGCCGGAGTTGCATATTAACACTTCAGGATATGGTAGTATCCTTAGGATTTTTCCATTCAAGAAATTGAACATGTGGAATAGTTTTCAAAAATGGGATAATAAAAATCTAAAAGCTCATTAATGATGACAATGTAACCACCATCAATTGTTGTTAAAAAAGAACCCAACTAGTTGACTAATGTCCATTAGGGAAGGATATCTACTGTCATTACCTGGGCTGGGCTACATGGGACTCCCGGCCCACAGCAACGTGATTAATTCTTAAATGCCCGTGGAAACGGCTGGGATGGCCAATCAGCTCAAAGGCAACTAGGGATGGGCAACAAAGCCGGCCATGCCAGTGACGCCCACATTCCACACAAGAATGAAAATGAAACAGACCCTAGTCCACGATGGGAATTTAGCAAGTTTCTGTAGGTGGGATCAATGTTTGTCCCAGGTACTTACCCAAGGAAATCAAAGTCTATTGTTGAGTACTTGGCTTGAATCAATGCCCAGAACCCCCAGAAGAAATGAGATGCCTGGAATCAAAAATGACAAAAGTAGTGTCAAGTTAGTGCTTGCTGGTAGCTCTGCAAGTTATTCCCAGTCATCTACCTGGCCATGTTATTTCCAGCAGAGCGGGATATGGTGTGTAGTAGATGGAATAATGTCACGAGCATGCAGTTTATCATAATGGATTTGTACATTTTCAATGGGACCTTGAATCGAGAATTGTGACAATAAAAAGAGCTGGAGGATTACGTTAGCTACTGAGGGAAATGACCTGACCTCAAAGGTAAGAATTCAGAGGTTAACATTTGTGGAAGCAAACAGTATATTACATACAAGTGTAGTGCACTACTATCATCAGATCAGATTCCTGGCTCCATCAAACCAGCTACTGAGCAACCTGGGAAAACCTCAACAAACAAGCCTGATTTGGACCAGTTGCAGTCCTATCACCATGTCTGAACCGCCATCAATACTGGTCACAAATATATGAATCAGGAGCAGAATGAGGCCACTCGGCCCCTTGAACTTATTCCATCACTCAGTAGGATCATGGCTAATTTGATTACTTCACATTTCCACCTATCCCTAATAACCTTTCATCCTCTTGCTTATCAGGATTCTATTCCTCACTATTTTAAGATTATTCAAAAGCTCTGTTTCCAACACCTTTTAAGGAAGCAAGCTCCAAAGAACTATGATCCTCTGCAAGAAAAATTTCTACTCATCTTTGCATTAAATGGGCAACCCTGTATTTTTAAACACTGACCCCTAGTTCCAGCTTCTCCTGCAAGAGGAAACATCCTTTCCACAAGCACCTCAAGATCTTAAAGGATTCAACTGGTTGATTAGAATTTGAGTGATAATCCCATTCTGTTTGATGATATATTAGTCCTGTTTGAACAGGATGAGGTCAACCAATGAGCACTCACATAGAGGAGTACAAAGGTTGCTTGTAATACTGAACTGTTACTGAACAGCCTGTCCAATGCAGCAATTAACCCTTCAAGCACAAAGTCCCAAAGTGACCTTTCAGCATTCAATATAATCTGGGCTGCTTTATTCCAATTCCATGCCAAATTCAGGTCATTTTCTAAATGGAATTGATTGAATTGCTCTACAGTGGGCTAACATAGACTTGGTATGCTGAATGGCCTTGTTCTGTCCTGTAATCACTATATTCCATCATTATATTAGCTCTGGGGACACAGACACGTAAGTATTATTATCTAAAAACATTTCTTTTGAAAGAAAGTGGCTTTAGAACCTTACCTTTCATGATCTCCATAGCCTCCTCCAGCCCCAAAAACTGCAGCTCAAATCAGGCCTCTCACTACTAGTGCTGAAGCTTTCCATCATGACCAACTTCTCTCCCAAAACTCTTCCGCCTTTTGTCTCTCCTTAAAACATACCATTCTGACCAAGTTTTTAATTTTACACGCTCTCCCACAACCCACCACTCACAATATTCCCCCTAACTTATCTCCAAACACAAAGAAGATCCTTCTTACGGTTTAAATAAAAACTGAATGAATCGCAGATGCTGGAAGTCAGAAATAAATACAGAAATTGCTGGAAAAGCTCAGCAAGTCTCACAGCATCTTTCTCAGAACTGGACCTGAAATATCAACTCTCATTTCTCTCCACAGATGCTGGAAGAACTGCTGAGATTTTCTAGCAATTTCTGTTTTTGTTCCTTCTTATGGTTTGCTGTCCATTGCTTTGGTCTGATTGCATTCCAGTGAGGCACCTTCACAAAAAAACCTGCTGTACTTGGAAATGAAGCTCTTGGTCATCCTGGAACTTGTGTCTGAATACACAAGATCAGTTGTGTTATTCACAAGTTTCAGTGGACTTTTCCTCTGGATGGTTAGGATGTTTTCCTACATCAAAGACTTGGTGTCATGCACAGACAATATAGACAAGGGTAGTAAAAAGTCAGGAGGATGAGTTTGGATAAATCCCCAGACAAGCCTGTAAGGGCTTTGAAATGTTAATCTATTTCAGATAAATGACTTGCATTAAGTATTTGTTAAAATTTATTTAAAACACATATGGTGCAAGTCCCAAACATCATCTCAAAGATCGACCCATGAGATGGATTCATTTGAAATACAGTACTGGTGTACCCTGCAACCATCTCAGGCAATCAAATGAGTAATGTGTATCTGAAACACAGAACCCAGGACAATGCAGCACTCCGTACTGCAATGAATTTCAAGTTAAGATTTTGTGCTCGAGTTTCTGGAGTGGCTCAGAGGTGAAAAAGCTGTCAGTGAGCCAAGGCCCTCTGTAGAGTACTCCAGCAGTTCAGATGAATTGTGACTTCAGCTTTAATAGTTGCAGCTCCTACTCTTAAGAGACAAGGACCTAATCCTCTGGTGCCAACTTCAATGAAAATCCACAAATTATTTTACTTGTAGGGTGCAGTATTTTATTCCCACAATATACTAAATCACTCACTCTGTTAGGAACAAATCCTGTTCCCTATCACGGGACAACAAGGTGCACAGCTGGATGTACACAGCAGGCCAAGCAGCATCATAGGAGCAGAAAGGCTCTATCTCTGTTCCCTATCACCTTCCCTACTGTGTTCATAACCTATAAAAAAAACCTGTCTCAGTTCAGCAATGCTTTGATTGTTAAATTCTCACCTTTGGCCTCACCTCTCCCTATCTCAATAACCTCTTTCAGTCCTACAACTCTCCAAAATATTTGCACTCCTCCAAATCTGGCCTCCTGAGCATCAGTATCATCACTCCAACATTTTGTGGTCATCCTCTCAACTGCCTGGCGCTGCTGTAACATGACGTCCCAATTCCTGTACTCAATGCTCTGACCGATGAAGGCAAGCATGCCAAACACCTTCTTCACCACCCTGTCTACCTGTGACAACACTTTCAAGGAACTATGAACCTGCACCCCTAGGTCTCTCTCTCTTTTCTACACATTCCCCAGAGCCCTGCCATTAACAGTGTAAGTTTGGCCCTGGTTTGTCTTACCATAATGCAACATCTCTTATTTGCCTGAATTAATCTCTATCTGCCATTCCTGGGCCCACTGGCCCAGTTGACCAAGATCCTGTTGTACTCTTAGATAACCTTCTTCACTGTCTGCTTTACCACCAATTTTAGTGTCATTTGCAAATGTACTAATCATATCTGCTATTTTCTTATCTGAATCGTTTACATAAATGAACAACTGTGGACCCAGCACCAATCCTTGTGGTACACTGCTGGTCACAGGTGTCCAGTCTGAGCAATTGTAAACCCTCCCAATACATTGATTGGAGGCTGCAAGAACCTGTTCCGCCTTCCTGCAGAAGACAATGGTAAACCACCGTGGTGTTTCACCCATAAGTTTGGACCAATCCAATGGAAGTCCATGACTCAACCCTCAGAAATGAGAGGGGCAGAAAAGCCAGACAGACCTCAAGGTCTACACTCAACCCACTGTACTACCGTGAGGATAACATCCTGGGAATGCCATAGGCTAACTGTGGAACAACTTCCAATTTAGATGAGTCTTTCAACTCAAATGAGTGTAATGAACAGGGTTGCGGGGACTCAGGTACTTTCCATTTGAGTTTGCATGCTGTACTTACTAATGAGAATTTGTTGACTTGAACATACAGCAACTGTACTTCATTGTCGGTCACCTCGCCTCCCTTCTTTGTAAATTGCTTACAAGCCTCTAGATAGGTTCTCAACCATTGGAACTGTAAGGATTGGTCTGGATACAGGCTGTAGTCCACCTCGTTCACTCCTGGCATAGAGAGAGGTAGCATTACATGAATATAAGCCCAACATGCAACACTATGCATCTACCATTACACATTTTTACTTCTTAGCCTTTTTGGGTTGCAAAGTAAGCGAATTGGGTTTTCACCCTGAGAAAGTTGTGAGTAGTGAGGGATGAAAGTGATGAGTGATACTGGAAATGATGGGAGATGGTTTTATCTGTAGTAAAGCCATTGTGAGTAGACAAGGCATGACAGATGGCAGAGGTCCAAGGATAGCAGTGATGATAGGAAGAAGGGTTTAGACTGAGTGAGAGGGTACATGGAGGGAGGGACCGAAATTCAGTTCAGAAAGAAACAATTATGGTAATCAATCCTGGACACCAAACATCAGAAAGGTGTTGATACAGGTTCTTTAAAAACTATGAAAGGGTTTGATAGGGTACATGTACAGAAGATGTCTCCAGAAGATATAGAGAAATCTAAACTTAAGAGTCTTCAAGATCACCCAATCAATAATAAATCCAAATGGGAATTACAAAATCCCTACAGTGTGGAAGCAAACCATTCAGCCCATCAAGTTCACACCCATCCTCCAAAGAGTATCTCATTCAGACCCACCTGTAACCTATCCCTGTAACCCTGCATGGGGATTTTACCATGGCTAACCCACCTTACCTGCACATGCCTGGTCACTATGGGGCAATTTAGCATGGCCAATCCACCTAACCTGCACATCTTGGCAATTCAGGAGTAACTTCTTTATGCAAGAATGGTTTGAATGTAGAACATAGAGTAACTGAGGTAAATAATGTAGATGAATTTAAGGAGAAATTAAATAAACACACAATGAAGAAATTAATAGAAGGATACGTTGATTGTGTTAGAAGAAAAAGGTTGATGAGGGGAAGGTAAATTCATCTGGAATGTAAATACTCGCAAGGACTTAATGGGCTGAATAGCCTGTTTTGTGCTGTTGTTATAATGCTATGGCTACACAAGGTGAGAAATTCAAAAATACCACTTCTATTATTTAATTCGTAAGATGAGTTGGCAGGAGCATAGTTACATGAGTAGATCCTTCAGCCTCCTAAGAATGACTTCACTATCAATTAGATCATCCATGATTTGTATCTCAAATTCCGCCACTACTTTGGCTCTTAATACCCCTGCCTAACAAAAATCTGTCAGGGAGGATGTTTCCCTTGATTTGGGGGGCTGGGAGGGTCAGTAACCAAGGGGCGGACCACTTCAGACTGGGATGAAGAAAAATTTTGTTCATTCAAATGGTGATGAATCCTTGGAATCCTCCATCCCAGAGGGCTGTGGATGAGTACATTCAAGGCAGAGATCATTGATTTCTTGACATTAGCTTTATTAAGTGATTTGAGGATATTGGGTAAAACAACCAGCTAGGAACACCACTAATACATGAAAGTTCACTCCAAGACGCTCACCATTCTGACTTGGAACTACATCATCAGTCCTTCACTGTCACTGGGTCAAAATCCTACAACTCCCTTCCTGATGGTATTGTGGCTGAACCCACACAGGCCCCGTCCCCATGTCCACCAACAGCAATAGTTCAAGAAGGCAGCTCACTACCTTATTCACAAGTGCAACTGGGAATGGGCAATAATTGCTGACCCAGCCGGTGACACCCATGTCCCATGTGTGAATAGTAGAATAAATGATGCTGAAATATAAGATCAGCCACCATGTGGTTGAATGATGGAAAGATGCTCTATGGGCCAAATGGCCTCATTCCATGCCGTGCATTCCTAGCAATCTCAATTTTGAAATTTTAAATTGACTTCCAGCCCGAACAGCGTCTAGGAGGGACAGGGAGAAAGATTTCTGGATTTCAATAACCCTTTGTCTGGAGGAACCTTGCCAACCATCGTTCCTGAACAGCCTAGCCCTGAGGAAACTGCAGATAACAAAGCACTCACCTGCAAATTCATTGAAATGGTTTCCGATATCGAAGGCCTGGTAATTGTAACTGGAATACTCGTAGTCAATAAATTTCACCCAACCTGAGAAATAAGTAACCAGACTTAGTACATATCACAGCAAGGCTGCACAGAGTGGAACAGACAAAATCTGTTTCATCAGACATTGCACCATGTGGACAGCGCTCAGCTTTGAAAATACAACACTTTTAATGTCTTTTAAAAATAAAGTCAACACTTCTTCTGACACACACTTGTTTGTTTATAGATATTCTGTAATCACATTGATCAGAGATGCTATAACATACCTCTAGAGCCAGTGGGTCTTGAACCAGGCCTTCTACCTCAGAGGTAGGGACACTATCACTGCGCAAAAGAGCCCCTGGTTTGTTAATAGGGTCATTCAAATCTGCTTAGACGTACTATCACTGGTACGATAAAATTACAATTCTATTCCACATTCAATCCCTGTGCAAAACTATTTTGATTGAGAATAAATGTGCAATTACTCCATACACATTGTTGCTTTATACGTTTGCAATAGCTGACCAATTATAATGAGGGTAAAGTGAACAGAATGAACTGTCTTACATTCATTAGAATGCCAATCTGTGGGGACAGTTCTCCAGAGAATAAGCCATACTTACTTTTCTGTGCTGCAGTAAGTTCTTGTACCTCTGTGTTAGTCTAGTATTGAAACTTCCACTCCCTCACAATGACACAATTTCATTTGCCACATTCCCAAATGGCAAATGACTAGGAGGGAGAAACAGAGTGGGAGGGAATGGCATGAAAGAGATTAAGGAAGGGAGAAAGAGAATAAAAGAGAGAGGAAAAACACGGCTCGGTGGTTAGCACTGCTGCCTCACAGCGCCAGAGACCCAGGATTGATTCTACCCTCGGGTGACTGTCTGTGTGGAGTTTGCACATTCTCCCCGTGTGTATGTGGGTTTCCTCCGGGTGCTCCCGTTTCCTCCCACAGTCCAAAGATGTGCAGGCTAGGTGGATTGGTCATGAAAAATTGCTCATAGTGTTCAGGGATGTGTAGATTAGGTGGGTTATAGGGGGATGAGTCTGAGTGGGATGCTCTGAGAGTCGGTGTGGACTTGTTGGGCCGAAGGGCATGTTTCCACACTGTAGGGATTCCATGATGCTATGAGGTAAGAAAGGAAAATAGAGTGGAAGTTTCCAAATGAAAAGGCAGCAACCAACATTCCAGAAGGTGACAACACAAAGATATATTGCAATGCAACAGTTAAGTGGGGCTACTTCAATAGGGCCTGCCAAGTCTGCAGCTTCTAACACCCAGAGGAACACAGACAGCAAATACTTAGGAACACAACCATAATCACCATCCTGTCTAGGAAATAACATCACAGGTCCTTCATCATCCCCAGCCAAAACCCTGGAGTTACCTACCTCACAGGTATTATGCCAAAAGACTGCATCAGTTCAAGAAGGAGGCTCACCGCCATCTTCTCAGGGTAATTAGGAACGGGCAACAAACTTTGACCCATGTGATGTCCATATCCTAAAATGGACTTCAACAGGCTTGGGAAAATGGTCTCCATTCACGTATCATTCTACTTTCTTTTATAAAAATTAGTTCCCTCGAGAGAGAGTTCTCTGAAAATTATTTAAAATTCAACTTTGGGAAACGATCGCATTTACATAGCACCTGTCACAACCACAGGACAACCCAAACGAGCCAGCGGAGTACATTTTGCAATAAAGACCACAGAGTGCTGGAAATAGTCAGCAGGTCTGGTAGCACCTGTGAGAGACAGAAACAGACTAAATGTTTCGCTAGAAACATGACTGTTCTTCAGAACTTTTGGTAGTGCTGTTGTAAGGTAGGAAATGCAACAGGCAATTTGTAAACCCCTCCTTCCCCACCCCCGCAGCCAAAGCAGCAATGTTGTAACCACCAGATTTAGATGAGGAAAAATAGTAGCCAGGACACTGCCTAGATTCTGTAATCTATGTAAGTGACATGAACTCCAGGTGACACAGTGATAACTCCCTGCTCTTCTTCAAAATCGCCCAAAAGGACAGATGAGGCCACACCTTAATATCTCATCAGTAAAGTAGCTTCCCCTGTGTGACACTGGACTACCAGACTACCAGCTTGGATGACATGCTCAACGATTGGATCTCCAACTCTCATCCGTCAGACTCAGAGGCAAGAGTGCTACCAGCTGAGCCACACCTCATACCTAAAATAGTAAACATTGCATTTGTGAAGTGTGTTATTTGCAACTATATCATCTTCCACTCCAAATTACTTCTAAGTAGAATATTTATCTATATTATTAGCAAAATTACAAGCCCAACGGCTTCATTATGGACCTGTCCTTCGATCAGAAGACTAGGTTTTAGTTGCATTATCTTTCAGCTTCCATTGATATTTTTGGTCACTCCACTCCACCCCTGGCTTTGCTCAAACAGCTTTTATTACAAGGCTTCTTAGTTTAAAATAAAATGTCACTAAGGAGATTTCTGAAGTTATATACACTGCAATTCTTCTGATTCAGTCCAGAACCGTTTCAATCTTGGAGATGAGTTATCTTGTCTGGGTGAACGTATGAGCTGAATGCAGCTGTCAGTCTCTCTTTGGTCCTTTTTGACATATCAAGGCTTTGTGAATAGTAAAGGTAATGTCACCAAAGCCCCAGAGGATCACTCTCTCATGAGACCCAGACAGAGAAAGAGAGAGAGAGAGAGGCGGGGGTGCTGGGGGAAGACAACTGGTGGTGGTTTAACCTTAGGGTCACCACACCTCAGGTGAGGGGAGAGGTTGTGAAGGACCATCCTCCATGCTAACCTCAGCAGTCGTGGGAAATTGAACTCACACTGTTAGATTGCAAACCAGCCAACAGTGCAACCATGTCATCTGACATCATTCACAGTGTTCATCATTAAAAAAAAATTAAAATTGCATTCAAAACAAAGAGGGTATGTTCAGACAAATCAGAATTATTGATGCTCCCCAGTCTGAAATTATACTCTTTCACTGCCACAGGGTCAAAACTCTAGAACTCCCATCCTCATGGATGTCCCTACACCAAAGGGTCTGCAATGGTTTGCAGCTCACCACTATTTCCTCCAGGGTAATCACAGGTAAGCAATATACAGGATCAGCCAGCGATGCCTACATCCATAAAGCTTGCTGGAAACACACAACACCTGCAGAGAGAGAGAAACCTTCAATCGGAACTGAACTCTGTGCATGTTCATATATTCCCAACACTACATGACCACCAAGATGATAAAAGGTGAATGGAGACTCTTCTCTACTTGCATGTAGCCATGCCCATGTTCTTACTGATATTCTCAACCCGTGACTTCAGCTGAGATTGGAAATGGAAAGGATTAAGTGCTGTTTTGTTGCCTCCCAGAGTCAAGTCCTTTGTCCACACCAAGTGCTGGAGCAAGAACATGGAGAAATAGTGATTTACTGGGGCCAGGGTGGGAGTTCTCAGATTTTGACCCTATAGCAGTGAAAGAGAATAACTTTGGACTGCGGAGTTTCTATAATTCTGATTTTTCTGAACATATCTTCTTCGTTTTGAATGCAATTTTCAACTTTTTTTATGATGAACACTGTGAATGATGTCAGTTGACATGGTTGCACTATTGGCTGGTTTGCGATGCAAAGTGACACAACAGCGTGGGTTCAATTTCCGCACCAGCTGAGGTTACCTTGAAGGGCTCTCCTTCTCAATCTTTCCCCTCACCTGAGGCGTGGTGACCCTCAGGTTAAACCATCACCTGTTGTTTGCTCACCTCAGAGGGGTTGTGGGGGGAGGAGGCATTTGGTGGGTCACCTGTGGCGGTTGGTACCTCACTATTCCGGGTTGGTATCTTACCTCAATACCTCAGTGTTGAGCCAACAACCTGAGAGAATCAGAAAGGGGACAATAACCTCTCAAGGGCAATTAGGGATGGGGAATAAACACTGGCCTTGCCTGTAACTCCTTTGAATGAATCACTAATTCACAAACATCCATTGTATTTTATCTGCAAACTATACAGATTCAGTAGTTGACAAAATTAAGATGATACAATGCACTTTAATATAGCACCTATAATGCCAGACTATTTATTTCTTTTCTAATTTTGTTTTTGTTTCCTAAGAATATGATCTTAAGTGTCTGTACCAAGGTACCTTTGTACCTAAGATGGCACTGTAATGTGGTGACTGTAAACTTTTCAATGTACTCACTTAAGTATGTGACTATAAAGATAATTCAATTCAATTAACCTTGACGCAAAGTAACAACTGTACTTTGTACTGTTTCCCAAAATACATAAACCTGTACTTTACACCCATACTCTGTAAAGCATTCTCGAGAGGCCAGATACAGAACGTGACAACAATCAAAGGATCATGATTCAAACTCTATTCCATATTTAAGTGGACAATTATTTACTGAGGAACAGGAAGCTGGTAGCTCCTCAAATGATTTGGTGGTTGTGTTATTTGTTCAAAGTAAAAATCTATTCACAATAACTTCACAAATCCTTGACAAAATGATGTTAACCAGACGGAAAAGGCACCCAAATCAGTGAATCTATCTGTAAATAAAGATGACCCCATTAAGGAGAAATTACCCAGTTACCAAACACAACAGCCTGGGGTCGTTTAACTGAATGTCAAATGAGTGATTCAGTTTACGTTTACTGGCCAGGGACATGGGTGCAGCCACAAGGCTCCTAGGAAATTGGCTCGGCATCCAGTCCCAGGTCAGTGATCAATTCTAATCCTCAGAAGTTGATAGAGTTGGTGTTTTTTTTTTAACAAAGAGTAGAATCAAAGTGTGTGCCAAGGTACAGCAGGAATTGGACGAAACAGTTCCATCTCCAGGTCCTCACCTTCCTTTTCATTGTAGATGATATTCTTGCAAAGTAGATCGTTATGGCAGAGCACTGTGGGAGAGTTCAGCTCTGACAGGTATTCCTTCATCCAAGCCATTTCCTTCTCCAGTGTCTCCAAAGGTGGCACCTTCTTCTGAATCCTAAACCAAAGTGAAAATTGTTTAGAACTGCACCCCGCAAAAGCTGGGATGAATTTATCAAAATCTTGCTGGATCACACCCTCTGTACCCCTAAATAAAAATCAAAAGAACTGCGGATGCCATAAATCAGGAACAAAAGCAGAAGTTGCTGGAAAAGCTCAGCAGGTCTGGCAGCATCTGTGTAGAGAAAAGTTCTGAGGAAGGGTCACCGGACCCGAAACGTTAACTCTGATTTCCTCTTCACCGATGCTGCCAGACCTGCTGAGCTTTTCCAGCAACTTCTGTTTTTGTTCCCTCTATACCCCTGCCCAACATCCCTGCCCTTTCAATAGAAGGCATGACCCTTGCTATGGACACTCGAGAAATGGCTACTACTTGTTTGTGACCTGCATGAGCCTATTATGCTGCAAAAATGCTTGAAAACAAAAGTTTTATATCTTAGAAATGGTTGATTTTTAACTGACATAATGTAGTGCTTTATTCAGGGAAGAACTGTTCCCATATTCTTGTCAATAAGTAGCTGACAATTAGCATACATGGATTCTCATGCAAGCGCCTTCACTGCTGGCTTTAAATAAAGAAAAGATAGAGAGAGTAGGAGTAGGCAATTTGGCCCCTCCAGCCTGCTCCACCATTCAATCTGATGATCATGGCTGATCATCCAACTCAGTCCCTGTTCCTGCTTTCACCCCATACACTTTGATCCTTTTAACCCTAAGAACCATATCTAACTCTGTCTAAATGGGTGGATAACACGGGAATACAGCTAGAAGATCTCACTCTGAAAAACATGGAGTTGCAGCAATGAACATGGGCCATCTTACTTATAGAGGTTTATAAAATCATGAGGGGCATTGACAAGCTGAATAGCAAAGGTCTTTTCCCTGGGGTGGGGGAGTTCAAAACTTGGGAGCATATTTTTAAGATGAGAGGAGAAAGTTTCAAAAAGGACATGGGAGGCAACGTTTTTTTATACTGAGAGGGATTCGTGTGTGGAATGAACTGCCAGAAAAAGTGGTGGACGCAGATACAGTTACAACATTTATAGGAAATTTGGATAAGTTTGTGAATAGGTAAGGTTCGGAGGGATGTGGGCTAAACACAGGCAGGTGGGACTAATTTTTAGTTTGGGAATATGGTTGGCGTGGACTGGTTGGACCAAAGGTTCTGTTTCTGAGCTGTATAGCTCTATGACTCTATAAGGAGTTAATCCAATTCCTTCATAAAAACATTCAATGCCATGGCCTCAACGACTTTCTATGGCAGAGAATTCACAGGCTTACCATTGTCTGGGTCAAGACATTTCTTCTCATATCACTCCTAAACGGCCTACCCTGTTATCCTTAGACTGTGACTCCTTGTTTTGCATTCTCTGGTCATTGGGAACATCCCTCCTGCATTTAAGAGTCCAGCCTGGTGAACAAATGGGCAAGTGCAGCATATTGATAAGGAAGATCCCAGATTCAGAGAAATAATGCACAAGTGGCTGGGCAGCACCTCAACTGGCCTCAGTGTCCATGGGCTAAACCTTAACCCAAGCTTAGCACTACTGCCTCACAGTGCCAGGGACCCGGGTTCAATTCCACCCTCAGGCGACTGTTCATGTAGATTTCCTTTGGGTGCTCCAGTTTCTTCCCACAGTCCAAAGATGTGTAGTTTAGGTGGATTGGCCATGCTAAATTGCCTGTAGTGTCCAGGGATGTGTAGATTAGGTGGATTAGCCATGGAAATGCAAGGTTATAGGGATAGGGTAGGGGTGTGAGTCTGGGTGGGATGCTCTTCAGAAGATTAGTGTGGACTTGATGGGCCAAATGGCCTGCTTCCACACTGTAAGAGTTCAATGATTAAGGAGGGAAGAATCTGAGGTTGGGGCTCCCATTTTTCATGGTTATCGCTTGATCCTGTCAGTCAGCACACAGATGGATGTACATGAATGATCTGAATTTCGGAGTTGAGGCAGCAACGTTGATTAAACTTGCAAGATTGCATGAACTGAAAGACTGGCAGTTTCCACAGACAGGTGAGACAGACTGTAACTGTAGCATGTAACGTGGCAAGTGGGTCCACACACATGACAAAATGTATGACTTAAATATATATTGATTTTTGGACATCACTGACAAAGGCTGGCATTTAGTGTCAATTCCTAATTGCTGTCAAACAGGTCGTGGAGTGCCTTCTTGGACCATCTTGTGGAGGTGTATACACAGTGACAGCAGGTAGGAAATTCCAGGATTTTGACCCAGTGATGATGAAATAATGCCCAAATCATGATGGCGTGTTGCTTGGAGGGACTGGTGTTGTCACACCGAGGCACCTTAGCCATTCTGGGCATTGGAGACGACATGTTAGGGAAAATGCAACAGAGAAGACTTGAGACATTAGTACTTTGTTCCATTTGAATGGGGAAGACATGTGATAAAGTCTTTGAAGACCATGAGGTGTCCTGATGAAGCAAATAGCAATAGGTGGGTGGGTGGGTGGGGGGTGGTGGTATGTCAGTTAACTCAGTTAAAACAGCTGGTTTGCAATGCAGAGGGACGCCAACAGAGTTTCCTCAGTTCCCAGACTGGCTGAGGTCACCACAAAGGTTGTTCCTTGCCTGAGGCGTGGTGACCTACAGGTTAAACTCACCACCAGTCTCTCTCTCTCTCTCAAGTGAGGGAACAGCCTACAGTCCTCTGGGACTATAGCGACTCTCACTTTTCTTTCACTGTAATATTGGCAACAGATGGCATAAATTTATGACAACCACAAAACAAATTAAAGGGAGATTTACTATAAAAATGTACTTCATATAGAAGTCTTGTTAACAGCTGACGTAAACAACAATTGAAAAATGTCCATCAATTCTTTAAGAGAGAGTTAGATCGTTGCTTGAAAGAGGAACATTTAGGAAACTGAGGATTGAGCAAGACTAGGAAGCTTGTGCAAGGAAAACAGCTCCTCGCAGATTTGATGGGCTGATTGTTCTTGGTTTTGTCTGATTGGAAACCAGTCATTGGAGACCAGTGTGTGCTCCTTAGTTGAAATTCCTGGCTACATTATTTCATGAAGATCCTGCAGAATGATTAGCTATTTATCAAGGTCCCAGAAAGTTTCAGCATCGGTTGAAACATAGTTTGGTAACCACAACTTCTTCAACAACAGAGGCAGCTTGATGCCAATGATCAAACACAAATACAAACTATGTAGAACAAGAATGCACAATACAGTACAGATAATGTACCATTTATCACAAATGCTACAACAGAGTACACAATCATAGCACACAGCACACATTAAACAAGGTGTCAGTCATTCTGTAGAGGAGATCTCTTCACTCAATGCAGCCTCATTTGTGAATTGATTTAAAACCATAATTCTCTAATGAAGGTTATGGCCATCAGAATCAAAAACTAATCTAATCCATGAACTACTTTTGTCAGCTTCTGGACATGTTCACCTCGGTTTATGGCCAAAACAGCTTGGCTTTGTGCAGGGAATTATGTGGTGATAATACCGTTCCATTCGTGCAACATTAATAATCAGGAAAAGATTGCACAAACCTATGGGTTGTTGCAAACCTTAAAGCAGGAGACAGTGTGAAGCCAATACCGAAGGTATGCACTGACAGAAGCCTGGAACTGAAGGTATTTGTGAACTTTTATGAATCATCAGCTTTCTCATTATTAACAAAGTATCCAAAACCTTTAATGATGCCAAGTGGACACAAAAGAAGATTTGAAAACATAAAAGAGATTTACATTACCATTAATAATGCATTAAAGCAGATTATATAACCACCCACTCGAGATTCCTACATTTTCCTGAACTTCCATAGTTCACATTAATTGCATTCCACAAATGACTATGAAGTTACTGTTAATTCGGCAGCAAGGGGTTCTCACTGATTAACTATACAGAGACACTGAATGTTTATTCAACAGGCTAAAGGGCTTGCACGAAGTGACTATATGAAGCTATTAAATATTCAGAAGGATAAAGGCTACATTGTGTAGTTGTCTGTTTCTTTAAAACAAAAGTAATTAAGATACTTGTCTTCCAAATGAAATTGCACAACCGTCTTAAAAGTTTACAGCCTTTTCAGGGCATTGAGCAGATCTTAATACATAAATTGCATGAAAATAGTGAAGACAGTTTTTTTTTCAATTTAGGAAAAGTGTTTGAGCATCTGAAAAATACCACTATTGCCAAATGTGTAATAGAACACAAATCTAGCACAATTTTCGGACCCAGTAGTTACGGAACAAATTCACAAGCGGCCTTGTGATTACGAATCTTATTGCGCATTTAGTCTGGCTGATTTCAATGAACCATCTTGGTTAAACACATACCGGGTATTTTTAGCTTCTGGTGTGAACTCAGAGGAGACAAGAGCCATGTACTTCCGCATTTTCACCCAGAGGTTGGGTTTCGGAATGCAGCCATTGTGGGCATGGATGCAATGAATCCTTGCCAGCTCCGTTGCTATGAGCCTACAAAGAGATGGAAGGCACACGTTATGCAAACAAATCAGTCCCAGAGAGCATTTACACACATTTTTCCATTTATCTTGTGAGTCTACGATGGGTTGATCCAAGGGATCCTTGACTTGTCAATTCCCCACTGAAGTGCTGCTGTAGGAAAGGGCTTGCATTAGTATAGCACTTTTCACGACAATGCAATATTGGGAAAAAGTTTAGATGAAAAGTCATTCACCTGAAAAATTCACTCTTTCTGTCCACAGTTGCTATTTGGCCTGCTGAATACTCATGTCAGTTGCGTTTTTATTTCAGATTTCCGTCACCTGTGGTATTCTGTTTTATCCATAAATGTGAAGTGTCCTCAGCGTTGTAATGTAAGAGGCACAGGGGCCAATCTGCACACAGCAAGACTGCACGAAAACCAGTCAGCTAATTATCAGACAAGCTGAGTGGGTGGTTCAGCTCTATAAATGGATTGGGCTCCAGGCACAGCAGAAATTACCAAGACTCAAGGCAGAAAGTGGACACTATATAGAAGGAGGAGGAAAACACAGATAGAAGTAGATTTTAGGAAAGACTTACAGGAGAGAAAAGAGTAATAGAGAAAAGAATTTGGAGTATGGCGTTCAAGTAGCTTTTGGCACGGCCATTGTTGGTGAAGAGTTGCAAAAATGATTGTAGAAAGAGAGAAACCATAGAACGTCTCAACTGGATGCATCATGGATCTAGATGTAGGTTTCAGTCCCTTGAGCAAATCCAGGAGGAAATCCATGACCCCAAAAGTCACTCACTCCTTAACTAGCAGTACAACAGGGTAGACCCAGACAACCCACTTGCCCTCAGTTCCAGATCTTTGTTATTCATTCATGGGATATGGATGAGCATTTATTGCCCATTCCTAATTGCCCAGAGCACATTAAGAGTCAACCACACTGCTGGGGATCTGGATCCATATTTAGACCAGATCAAGTGAAGACAGCAGATTTCCTTCCCCAAAGGACATTAGCAGACCAGATACATGTTTGATGATACAAAAACAAAGTTGCTGGAAAAGCTCTGCAGGTCTGGCAGCATCTGTGAAGGAAAAAACAGAGTTAACATTTCGGGTCCAGTGACTCTTCCTCAGAACTGGTTTGAGTTCTGAGGAAGGGTCACTGGACCTGAAACGTTAACTCTGATTTTTTTCTTCACAGATGCTGCCAGACCTGCTGAGCTTTTCCAGCAACTTCTGTTTTTTGTTCCTGATTTACAGCATTCGCAGTTCTTTCATTTTTTTTATTATGTGTTTAATGATGATTGACTTGGTTGTCATTGGCTAGCTTATTTCAGATATTTTATTGAATTCAAATTTCACCGTCTGCTATGGTGGTTTTTTTTGTCATTTGTATAAATGATTTGGATATGAAAATAGGAGGTGCGGTTAGTAAGTTTGCAGAAGGCACAAAAATTGGAGGTATAGTGGACAGCAAAGAAGGTTACCTCAGAGTCCAATGGGATCTTTATCAGATGGGCCAAGGAGTGGCAGATAGAGTTTAATTTAGATAAACGTGAGGTGCTGCATTTTGGAAAGGCAAATCAGGGCTGGACTTATACACTTAATGGTATGGTCCTGGGGAAAGTTGCTGAACAAAGAGACCTTGAGTGCAGGTTCATAGTTCCTTGAAATTGAGTAAACGAGTTGGGAGGTCATGTTGCGGCTGTACAAGACATTGGGTCGGCCACGTTTGGAGTATGGTGTGCAATTCTGGTCTTCCTCATACAGGAAAGACATTGTGAAACTAGAAAGGGTTCAGAAAAGATTTACGAGAACATTGCCAGGGTTGGAGGGTTTGAGCAATAGGGACAGGCTGAATAGGTTGGGGTTCTTTTCCCTGGAGCATTGGAGGCTGAGGGGTGACCTTGTAGAGGTCTGTAAAGTCATGAGGGGTATGGATAGGTTAAGTATGCAAGATCTTTTCCCCAGGGTGGGCGAGTCCAAACCTAGAGGGCATAGGTTTAAAGTGAGGGGGGAAGATTTAAAAGGGACTTAATGGGCAACATTTTTCACGAAGAGGGTGATGCATGTATGGAACGAACTGCCAGAGGAAGTGGTGGAGGCTGGTACAATTACTACGTTTAAAAGGCATCTGGATGGGTATATGAATAGGAAGGGCTTCGAGGGATATGGGCCAAATGCTGGTAAATATAGGATATCTGGTCAGCATGGATGAGTTGGACCAAACAGTCTGTTTTCATGCTGTATACCTCTATAACTCTATTGGACTGTTGGCCTGGGGATTCTGGTCCAGTGACACTACCCCTATGCCACTGCCTCCAGCAAATCTGAGTCTGTTACAACAAGAAGTGCTGTATGAAGGATGTGAGTTATGCCCAACAAGATGAAATTAAAAGAGAAATTCTGTGAAGATACTGACAGATGGTTAGATGGGCAAACTCTGACCCCTCACTTGCTGAGGTCTGGAACTAAGAAATAGCTGTTAGAATTCAACTGACTGTGTAGGAGGGGTGAAAGCAACAAAAATTGCGTGTCAAAGAAACCTAAGCCTATTTGGTTAATTGTAGCTTGAGAATAAAAAGAGGCTTATACAGTTTGAAGGAAAAGACAATCCGTTGTACAAAATTCCAAAGGAAACAAAGAAAAGGAAGGAATAACAAGACGAATTTAAAACATGGTTTGTGTAGAACAAAATATTAGAAGCACTTTGTGGACCATTAAAGATGAGAGAGGGAAGAACAGTTCAGCAGTTTCAAAATGTAGACAGAACAGTGGGTAGTCAGGAAGATAGAAGGAAATAGAAGCATAAGAGTCAGAACAGCCATAAAAGGAAACGAAAAACATTCTAAATCAACAGGACCAGCCCCATGGGGAAGGTGGCAGTGGGGTGTTTGTTACAGTGAAATGTATTCACAGCTCATTAAAACAACAGAAGGTAGAGGTCATGCTGCTGTAATGTTAACATCAGTGGACTGATAATCCAGAATCCTTGGCTAACATTCTGCCATACCATGCCAGATGGTGAAGTTTGAATTCAAATAAATGATCTGGAATTAAAAAGCTAGCCCAATTGCAATTTTAAAAGTTCCTAAGGGAAGGAAATCTGCTATCCTTACCTGGTCTGGCCCACATGTAACTCCAGACCCACAGTGATGTGATGACTCTTAACTGCCTTCTGGGCAATTAGGGATGGGCTTGGCTAGGAAAACCTACACCCCTTGAATGAATTTAAAAAAAAAAGGCTGGGTACAGCTAATCTTAGCTCAGCATTTATTTTTAATATAATGGGTTGGTCATCTAATGGTTACATTGGGTGTAAAGGAAAAAGCTTTGAGTTGATTGTGGAACAAGAAAATCAGGGAGAATTCTGCAGTGGAAGAGATGACTGGCTTACAAAAGGCAGTCCATGTCAGGTATTTATAGGAGGTCTTATGTCAGGGGTAACAAAATTGGGGAATGAGGTTTTTAATAAACAAAAGTTTGTTCTTGGAAATATGGACATTACCAGCAAGGTTGGCATGCATCACATATCCCTGGCTGCTCTCAAGAGAGATAGTGGGAAGTCTTCCTCTTGAATCAGAAGGTGCTCCTGCAGTCCTGTTAAATTGGCAGTTTTAGGGTTTTAACCAAGCAATGAAGGAACAGTGATGTGCAATACAGTAAAATGTGCATTATCCAGCACCTCACAAACCAGAAAGCACCACCAACCTGTATCTTCAAGTGACAAGAGGGTGCTTTTAATTTGCTGCCAGGTTACAAAATGCAGCACTGCTTGTAAAACCCATATGCAGGTACTTCTTGCATGTGACCATTTACAAATTCCACATGGCCCCCTCCTTCTCTCCTTCACCTTTGGTGCTCTGCATTGCCTTTAATGGGTTTTGCATATAAATTAATCAATTGGAAAACACGGGGGATTCCAACTGTTGTTAACAATGTGAAAAACCATGGGTGACTTGAAGACGGGAAGTAAAAAAGAGTGTTTAGCACAACTGGATGTAAAAGAAAAAGCTAAAAGCTGGGCTAAGGGACTGTGGGTACAGCAGTAGTGTCCAAATCACTGAGGCAGAAGACCCATACACAAAAGAAAAACATGATCTGCATTCATCTTTGATGGTCTGCATTGCCCTTAACAGGCTTTGCAGGCAAACTAATGAATTGGAAAACGTGGATGATTTACTGGTGGTGGTTAATAGATGAAAAAAATACCACGGGTGATGGGGGAAGTGTGTAAAAGTACTTCTGGATATAGAAACAAATATATATAAACTGCACACGCTGTGTTTTAACGCAAGTGGTACTCAAACCCCTACCAGGACCCTAACGATGAAAATCAATAACTGGGTCAAAACAAAATTAAGTTTTTGCTCGGCCCGACGATTATGATAGATTGACTGTGTTAAAGTGCTTGTCTGGTATATTTAAGGTCATGGGAATACGATTGGGCTTTAAAAATAGGCAGCCTTTCAATGAGTATGACAGATATCGAAGTCACTATGTAAAATACCAATATTGTTGATATAAAGCAGCTGTGAAAGAACCTGCTGTAATCAGTACCCCAAATAGCTGAATTATTAACTGTTGAAATAACTGATGTCTTTGATTTACCGGCACCACGCGATCCTCACGTGGACCGAATAATGTGAATTTTTCCGTACTTAGTTTTTATTGTCTACCTTGTACATCTGTCTTTATCATGTAATCTGACGTGTGATCTGGTAAGGTCTTAGTCAAATGACGACTAAGCAAAACAAAAAAAAAGATAATATGATCAACATCATTCTAATTTGGTAGACATGACTGGTTATGCAGCACAAGTTATGTTAGCAGTCATTTAAAAAACGAAACAGAAGGCAAGTGTAGGTTCTCAAAGTTGTGTCTGTAGCAGGACCTTTGGACTATACCAATGTCATACAGATATGCTCACAGAACTTTAGCAGCTAGGACGATCACATGTTGTTTATGGAAGAATATATGGTAAAATGGAATGAAAGGGCAAAAAACAAATTTACATTTATTAGTATCTCCAGGCATCCCAAAACGTTTACACCTAATAAGTTATTTTCGAAATGTTGTCTTGTAGGTAAACTCCATGCCCAGTTTTTAATATACTAGAAACACACACGCACATACACACACACACATTGAGATGAATAACCAATTTATTGGTTTTGCTAATGGTGATTGCAGGATAAATGGTGGCCACAATATTAGTAGAACTCCCCTGCTCTGTGTTCTCCTGAGCAGGACTGACAGACCTTCGGTTACAATATTTTATCTAAATGTCACCATAGCCCCAGAGGACCATAGACTGCTCTCTCAAGAGAGAGGGGGAGAGAGATGGCGATGGTGAGGGCGAGCGACACACACTTTGTGCTGAGTTTAACTTGAGGATCATCACACCTCAGGTGAGGAGCAGGGTTGGGAAGGCAGGGCCTTCATGGTGATTTTAGCAGGTACAGGAATTGAACCCGTGGGGATCGACTGTCTGGATGGCTGGTTTGCGATGCAAAGTGATGCCAATAGCGTGGGTTTACTAATGGTCCTATGAGTGTTGACGTTCAGTTTTTTTTTTCTTTTCTGAAGGGGAGAAATTCCAGCAATACTGTGTTACTTCAGCACTGCATTCAAGCAGACAATGAGCTCAAACCCCAAATCCACCACTTTCTGTATCAGAGCCAAATGCACTACCCATTAAGGCAGACTGGAGTGGAGATGGGGTAGCAAAAAGAGTGAAGTAGTTCAGTCGGCCAAACATGAACCATACTAATACATAA